CAGCGTTGCTGTACTGCAGGCTCCTGGCCAGCTCAGTCCTGAGCACCACCTGTGGCTGTTCCCAGAGCGTGGTGGGCTCTGCCTCACTTGCGCTGTGCTTGGCACATGTAGAGGCCAAGCTGGGTTAACCCCTTGAGCCTGTCATCCTGCCCTGGCCAGGCAGCATCTCCTCGCAGGCAGGACAGGGCAGCTGCACCCTATCCCCGCGGAGCTGTGCAGGCCTGACAGGCCTCCAGCACCTTACAAGGTAGACATTGTGGTTTTTTTGGCACTCTGGCCAAAAATGTTACCTACCCTTGGTGTAAAGAGTCTGCAGAGATTTGGAAGCTGGCCTTCACCAGGAGATACGCCACTTCCCCTAGCACACATGCAGCTGGTATTATTTTCAGTGTCCACAACCTTAGAGAAGAGACCCAGGTACCAGAGTTCTTCTGATGACCTAGCCAGGCTTGAATGGCTGAAAGACTGCTGGGTCCCAAGCTAGAGAAGCCTTCAGCCTTCAGCCCTGGCATGCCTAGAGAAGGAGAAAGAAGCGGTCTCCTCTTGTCCTGAGTCAAGCTCAGCACTGCCACAAAAATAAATTAGTGTTTTTGGGGTGGAGGGGTCAGTTTTATACTGGATTCAATTTTCAATTTAGCCTTTACATTCAAATACCCACCTTGTTTCCACACACCAAGAAGAGTCCTGAAATGCTTCATGCTGTGCCTGTAAATATTATGAGCAATCCAAGAGAATGGTCCAACTTTATTGTAAAAGATGATCAACACTAATGAGTTTTACTTCTACTTCTTTACAAGCTGTGACTCGTCTGTTAGGCATGTTGCAGTATATGTGTGTATGTAGTCAGAACATTGGCAATATATATATATATATAAATATATATATATTTAAATTACTGTGTTGTCTTTCTAGGGGTGATGAAGAATGGAAAGAATGTCCTGATTATGTAACTACTGGAGAAAATAGCTGTTACTTCAATACATCTTACACCTCTGTTTGGATACCTTATTGTGTTAGACTTGCCAATGAAAATAAAGTGTTTGATGAGAAATGTTTCAGTGTTGATGAAATAGGTAATTTTTTTCATGCATTTTAAGCTGCTTTATTTTTTTCTCCTGGTGTATAGATTTTGTTTACTGTACCTTTTTGCATTAATTTTGGAGGTCTGTATATTTAAATTCTCAGTGCAATAAGATTAACCTTAAAATGCAATCTGCAAAATGGGACAGCATTAGGAAATACTATCCAGGTTGGAAGAATACATGCGTGATAAAGGCTGATGTGTAGCTTCTTTTTAAGATGCATTAGGAAATGATTCAACAAGTCAATGAGCTCCCTTTTCAAGTTTAAAATACCACTGCTTTCTCAAGTATGTTGAAATGTGTCAGTCTGAAGCCCTCACGCTGAAGCATCAGCAATAGATAATGCATATTTATGTTCTACATGACCAAGGAGGTTGTTTCAAAGCTGCAAATTTTGGTTCCTTGATTGGTTCCAAATTGGATTAAGAGATAATAGGATAATTACAGCATCATTTGTACTCTGAAGCAATAGAGTTCTTAATTTAGTTTTTGTGAAGACTATGACCTTTTCTGAAATAAATTAACCACTTCTAACTTTTGGGCAACCTGTGTCTCTTACTATGCAGTTGAATTGGTTAGTTAAGCTGTTGGCTTCAAAACTGCATTTCATTGCCATCCAGAGGCCATAGACTTATCCTCACCAGGAGGTCAAAGTAACATATGAATCTTACACATGGCTTTAATTACAGCCAATTGAGTTGATTACAATTATAGTAGTCTAGGACTGGGGCAACATACGAAGTGCATTACGTACCCTCTGTAAGTGTAGTATTTCCTGGCTATAGGTTCATATTCATTGCAAATTGTCGTGTACATAGAAAGGACACTGTAGTACTATTCCAAAATTGATGTTAACAAGAATCAGCATATGTGGGCTGCCCTGTAGTTCAGTTAATAAATAAAACACATTTTACAACAAGCTTTGCGTAACAGTCCTGGGAGTGAGAAGTGGTGGAAATGTGGGAAGCAGGGGGATCCTTTGTGTTCTGGACCAGTGAAAAACTGTCGTCTGTTTGAGAATAAATTATGAGAAAGTCTGAAGTTCTCTGTGCAGACCAAAAACAGAACTCCTGCAATGCCATAAGGAATTTTAGTTGAGATTGTGAAAAAACAGATTTAAACTGTAATGTTCTGTGAATGATCCTGGAGTCCCAGCAGAGGGAAAACGCCCATGGATTTCAGCCTAACAAGGGTAGTTTTATTTTATTTGTTTGCAGGGGGAGGGGAGGGTCATTTCCTTTCAAATGCATATTTCAGCAAAAATTAGCTATAAAACACAGGTGGAATAAATCCATTGACTATAAAGAACAAACGGGTGGTAGCATTAGCATTAACTTTGGGAACAATTTTTGGTCCAGAATTTCAAAATTCTGGAACATAAATCTGATTTTCCAAAGTAATGCATTGTCCTGACCCCTGTAAAACCAATATATGTTTTTATTATTGAGTTCACTGAGGCCAGGGTTTCACCCTGGGATCAGCAGGTGTAGGCCCTCTAAGTTTCATGGTGAAAATGTCTTCCTCAAATGAAATATGCCTTCCTTGTATCAACCCTTTAGTAATGTTGGTGACAACTTTTAGGTTTAGACTGTAATTGCCATAAATGAAATTAGGAACGGTGTTTAGGAAGAATACTGGTTTCGTGCTGAGAACAGGCTGTTTTATTTAAACAAACACTCTGTTTATACAACAGTGCTACCTGATCCCCCTATTAACCTCAACTGGACTCTACTTAACATCAGCCTAACTGGGATCCATGTGGATATTCAAGTAAGATGGGAGCCACCACCAACAGCAGACGTTCGTAAGGGATGGGTTACCCTGGAGTATGAGCTGCAGTACAAAGAAGTAAATGATACAAAATGGAAGGAGGTATGAAGGACATTTTTATGTAATAATTATAATACCTTAGGGCAGGGGCGGCCAACCTACTGCATGCATGCCACAAATGGCTCAGAAAACTTCGGTGTGTGGCACATGTGACCCAGGTGCCTCTATTTCCAGCATTTAAGGCACAGACTCTATCAGGTACATGTCTAGGGGGTGGGAATGAGAGTGGCACTTCAGGAGGGCTGGGGCCAAACTTGTGGCATGTTAGCCAAAAAGGTTGGCTACCACTGCCTCGAGGCTTCTCTTGTGCCTAACTTTCTCAGGTGTAGGGAGCATCTATTAATTAAAGCACATTACACCTTCATATCAAGGCAGTCGTTCTAGACTAAAGTTGCCTTACATCTAGAGGTGCACCAATAGATCAGTCCCATATAGTATCAGCAGCGATAAAAGGAAAATTGACATTATTGGCAATCAGATTTTTTTTGGCTGACGTGGCCAATAATGTTGCTGATAAATGCCATGTGCATGTGTGCAACCGCAGCACCACACACAGGTGGCCAGGAGTGCAGCCCGGTAGCATGGAAAGCAGCATCCAGCTGGTACGTCTGTTGTGGGGGCAGGGGCATGAGGGAAGGAAGGGGTGTAAGGGGTGCGGATCAAGGCCCCTGGAGTGAGAGAGGGCATGGGGCTAGTGCTCAGCTTAGGGCAGGGGCAGGCAGTACCCAGCCAGGGCAGGGCAGGGCATGGGACAGAGCTG